AGCTATCGAAACTCCACCATTGGGTGTCCCAACCAATCTTGAAAGGACGACGTGCTTGGTCGCACTCCAAACAGTCCATACGACGCTATCGCGATTTTATTATCATTCGTTCAACTGTTATTAACTCATAATAATTATTTTTCTTTTCCGTTCGAATCGCGACTGGAGCACGCGGGTCACGTGGAATCGACGACGTTAGTTAGCAACACGATGTTGCCCGATTTAAAGGCCGTGTACTTCGCACTCCATCCTTTTCATATTTATAAGCGGGAGGTGATGACTGAGAAGTCAAGAAACACTGAGTTTTGGCTAAGGTAAAAGGGAAGTTATGATGTACATACTGAGCAGTAAAATTTGCAGTGTGCAAATTATGCAAGATTGAGACTTGAAACACGCGAATGGGATAGGACAGACGATGGGAGCATTCGGGGCGCATTTTCCCTCTTCCCTATGACAGCTTCCCGTTTGAGAATCTATATAATAACAGCAACTGTGGTCCATGGTGGTGGTGGCATTGGTGACGGTGGTGGTCGGTGGCATGTACGCACGCACAAACATGACAAGCGTGCGCTCTTCCCATAGAATCTTCTGCCTGCCTCTGGATGTACGTCTCCCTCTCTCGGGCACGCCGTTCAGCCGTTCGTTTCCAGCCGTCGGGTGTATTCTCGAGATCGTAATAGTCCTGGGGGGAGAGGTGGGGGGGGGGGGGGGGGTTCGGATGTCATAAGAGGACGAAAATGTTTGAGGGGGCAGGAATCGCACCCAGGACCTCCTAATTGACCGGTCAAATGTGCTACCACTACACCATCGAATCCAAGACTTTACATCGAACCTCTCCTTGCCATCCCGAACATTACAACGGGAGAGAGGGGCATTCTACGCACAACCCCCGCTCTCTACTTAGGGGAGTCCGATATGAACTTTTCCGCAGGGACGTGTAAAACGTCCCCGCGTATTACACTTGGAGTCCCCTTTCATCTGAGGAGAAAGGATGACTTCCTCGCCGGTATGAGACATTCGCCCATATATATCAATATTTATCAGGATCCCGACCCCTTTATCGATCGATCCTCTTATCGATCGGCACTCACAAGGAGAGCGACTTCCGAGGGTGAAAACGACGAGATACCACCTGCATGGAACAGGAACGCTTACTTTGTGATAAGAAAGACGACGTCGGCAGCGTCGTAACCATCCCGTTTCAATATTTTTCACTGGCATGAAAAGTGGTGGAGATAGACTTTAGAGACGATACGAACAGGGTCGCGATCGATCCTGGATGTCAGTGCCACTCATTAAAAGTCCGTTTCGTAGGCGTGAATACCCCTTATGGGAATGGGGGCATCGCGGGGGCGGGCTGGCAAGACGTACAATGTCCGAGCGGCTGCTGCATACAGCATTGAAACGAACGCTAAACGAATTTTTTTTCGTTTGAGGAAGTGAACGTTCAAAGGCAAACATACGGGTGGCTAAAAAAACCAAGCGATTGACTTCAACATGCTGTAAATCAGGCTGTAGGGAAAAAGTCCATTCAAATCAAGGGATTTGAATGGACTTTTAGGCACACATTTAGCAACTCTTTTGCAGCATACATAAAATTACTTGTCATGATGTCATGAGTTTTGTTTCATCAGGGAGAAAATGGCCGCCTCCATTTGGAAAACTGCTGCAACAGTCCCCACCTGCCGTTTGAGTTGAAGCAGCCAATAAGAACGCTATTTATTTTCTGTATCAGTGTTTTAAGATGTTTTTCTACCTTTTCCTGATTTTTTTTTACTAAAACAAAGCAATTCCAAGCTCCTTGTATGGAGGCTTTGTGGTCATCAAACACTGGTGAGTTTAAAAGGGATGGGAAGCCAAAATAATGAAGAAGGAATTTTCTGGTAAAACAAACTGGCCAAGAAGTGGTCTTGAGGGCATCATTCGGAAAGTTGAAGAGACTGGATCACCAACTCCAAAAACAAGGTAGTGAAAGGCCCAGAACAGGAAAAGAAAACGCTGAAAAAGTGGAAATGCCCGTGTTGAGTCAGGAGGATCAACCAGGAAATATCTTCCACAGAAAATTCATTCATAATTTTTCTGGCTTCCGATCAACTCTCAATGTGTCGATCACAGCAAGGCCTTCATGCAAGTAGTTCAGTATTGTTTTGTTTTAATAAAAAAATGTGGGAAAAGGAAGAAACACATCTTAAAAGATTGATACAGAATACGAAATGTGTTCTTTATTGACAATAGCTGTGGCTGCTTCAACTCAAACGGCAGGTGGGGATCGTTGCAATAGTTTTCCAAATGGAGGCAGCCATTTTCTCCCTGATGAAACAAAAACTCGTGATATCATAACAATAACTTGATGCAATGTGCAAAAGATTTGTTAAATGTGTGCCTAAAAGCCCATTTAAATCAAGGCACTACAGTCTGATTTACAGCATGTTGAAGTCAATAGCTTGTTTTTTTAGCCACCCTGTAGGTTAAAGGAGACGAAGGGCGACAACAGAGTGCATGGTAAAGGTGTTGGCGGGTGTTAGCAGGGCATGCTTCCGGTTTAAGTAGGGCTGCTCCAATAATCCCGCGGTACCTGCTCCTTTACTCCGACAATGCCTGTTTTAACCTCTATGAATCACTTCGCACGTGAATCGCCTAGTTTTTACTGAGACCTATTCCCGATCGCTCTTTTCTACCATTAGCCTAAACTGAAGTATTAGACCCATATTCATTTTAAAAATATGTATTGGAACGAGTCGATAGGGCTTACTTATTTTTCTGAGAACCTAATTTGCCTGCTGTGTCGGGTCTTTTTTCTTGCAAGTTGGTATTTAGAAGAAAGTTGGGTTGAAAAATCGGGGAATATCCCATCGGACTGAATGGTGTACTATGCGCCATGAGCCCTACAAGTATGGCTTGCAATTACAACACGCTTGCCTATACTGTTCCTACGGGTGCGCCATCTCCAATTGAGGAGTTCTCTGGAAAAGGGGCGTATGTGCCCATATCCTCCTTTTCCATATCCGTGTCCATGCGCTGCTTTCGGTGACTGGTCATAGGATAGGGTGGTCACCAAGTAGTTAACATACGTCTTCAGGAAGGGAGAAGCAAATTTTCCAATGCTCTCACTATGTAGCAGGTCAACTGCCTGGAAATTTCCATATGGCTGCCTACATGAATATTCCATTAGCGCTTGCATGCTGAGCGATTTTGGTGGAATTATTTCGTCCTTTTAAACTGAAAGTGAAAATGAGGAAGAAACCAGACATGAGGAAAGGGAAAGAAATAGGCGGAGTCATCCAAGCCTCTGGAAGGATGTGAGAAGTTGGAGATATCCATGAAATAGTTGCAGATTCAGATGATGAATTCATTAATAATGGATCACCGCTGAGTAATTGGTGAATGAAACATGTCCTGAATATTCGCATTTTCGTTACTATTCTTCAAGAAAGAGTTTATTTGAAATCTGTAGATGCATTTATTGATTACTTATTATTTTTAACTGGAAGGAAGTTGTAAAAGGCTTGTTGGAAAAAGTTTCAGAGGACGGATATGGAAAAATGGCGTATGTGCATAAACATTTTCTGCCAGTATAACAGCTATATGAGATAAAGAATTTCATTAAATCCCAAGTTCAATAGGGAAAAGGTCTGATACCATTTAACTGATACTTAAATTTTGACCAGCTTCAGATTAGCTATAGGAAGTTTTTATAATTTATCTGGAATTACATATTTTGCACATATGCCCTTTTTCCAGAGAACTCCTCAATTATTTCTTAACTCAGTGGCTCCCCCACAACCATAGTATCAGGTACACGCAGCGTACCATGGGTCATTAATGTTCGGAAACGAGCGCGGCGGATTGCGAGGTAAGTAACGTGAGGGCGCCAATAAATTCCCACATACCACATCGTCTCACGCGGCGACGATTTATTGTAACGCCTTGATCTTTGGGTTACCCATCGTTTTCGCTCGGCGTCGATTCCCCGTCCTCTACAAAGACGAATAACGAAGCGCAGGGGCAGACCGAGAAATTATGGGTGCTTTTGCCTTGTCCTGTCTTCTCACATGGCCAGCCAGGGTCAGGAGGGGAGTGTGGCGACTGCCTCTCGTGGCCATGTCAATTCATGCAATTCATTTTTTGCAAGAAAACTCATTTTGCAAGGGCAACATAATAGTTTTTTTTATTTTTCGTTATTCTGTGAAAACCTCACTCTTGCAACTACGGACGCCAAACGAAGCTACGAAGCGTAACCAATTACCACTGACCATTGAGGATCTTGCGTTTTGCTGCCAAGTTTGACCTTGATTTATGTTGGCGTGAATCGGCAGAAGGATTGTGTTATACACAGTTGTTCAAGTGGAGTTTTTTTTTCAAATACAATTGACAGCTTCAATCTGTGTTACTTCTTTGATTTCTCCTTTAACACCACATGTAAAATCCCTTAAAGCAACCCGTTTGAGATTGTGAATTCTGCTCTCCAGTGCCATTTAACCCTCCCTTGATGTCTGGGGTCCTTTTCGATCCCACGGGATGAAAGCATTAAAATTAATCCTGAAATTAATTAATAAATATCGGACATTTCGTGGTTCCCTGGAATATTTTTTAGTTGTATACGTTGTGTATTGCCTAGCATTATAATCACCTCATCTGACTCACTGTCGCCATGAATCTAGTCAAACGAAGGAACCTTTATGCTCGGGCTCGATCCACGCGTGAACCTCTTGTAACTTTGTAGGAGTGCAGTGGCGGCTGACGTAATGCAGATGAGACAATGTGGCGTTGTCGTTCGTCAATGTCATTCTTCGAGAGTCTTGGATTTGGAGACTGTAACAACTCGAATCCTTTTCACCACTAGTGGCTCATTTTAGACGTGCGAAATAAACCTTGTTTCATACACATAACTAACGTTGCACTGCTATATTCCTTCATGATACACCAATGTAAGGAAATGGTGTAATTGTTACATACAACGGTAAAGTTCTTCCAACTAAACATGTCAATTCACCAAGCAGATGGAGACAGTAATGTCACCATTGTGAACTATCCACTGAAGATGCATAGACTATTGGCTATGGCTACAAATCCGTTTACCCATGCACCCACGTTCTCACTTTAGGGAGTTGACGTCGAGAACGAAGAGGGAACAACAGGACAGCTCTCGTCAGTATATTACATTTTGCCTTGTTCCTGCCCCAGAACTGGTCGTCGACCTTGGAAAAGGATTCCAACATGGCACATTGCATCGCAGTATTGCTGCCTCTCCTGTGTCACGCCGTTATTGCATCCATGAACGACGGTAAGTCCAGTCATCATTATAATGTGGTTGACTAAAAAACATTCCAAGATCTATTAATTTCTTGTAAGATGATCAAAACTCCCAAGCCAACAAGTAATTCAATACCGTTAGTTAATTATATCTATATTTCCCTGGTTGCCTCTAAATGCACAGTTATCGAATACAAAAAAAAATCGAATTTAAATTGGATTATAAAATTCTAGTACCAGGACACAAATTTTTAAACCGTTTCCTTTTGCAATTTGGGAATTATTTACATGCAGAAAAAGCATGTAGTTCTCTCGACCAAATTAGTACATGTAGGATAAAAGAGAATATTTAAGGACTCTCAATGCAAGTCATTGCATTGATTTTCGTGCTAAGTGGGATAATAGCCAAAAGGGTTTCTCCAAATTTCTGCGAGGGCAATCATTACCTTGCTGCTTAAGTGACTCTGGAAAGTCTTTCTTGATTGGGATTTCTGATTTTTTTTTTACATTGGCTCAGACATGAACTGTAAATAGTTTTTCGCTATCATGGAATGCTCTTTCAAAGTGAAGAGTCGCCTCCACCTAGCGAATTGATTCAGGCCAAATTGAGGCGGATGTTTTTCTGCTGAAAACCTTGTCGACAATGTCAAGTTCGGATTGAATATAAATTACATAGCTGTCTTTTGAACGAGTTCATTTTTTTGTTTCAGCATTGGATCATTTGCAAGTATGGACAAAGTGAGTTGCAGCATAAATGCATATCTGCTCCATTTAGTCTTCGAGAATACTTAATATTTTCTTAAATGTGGCAGTGACTTTTGGACAAAGGCTTCCGAAACAATTAATAATATGCGGTCATCTTAGGAATTAATCTGGCTTTTGTCGCCGGATTTGCTCGAAACCTACTTATGTACACTTTCCAAGTAATGTTCCTTGCATCGAAATCATGTGACTCGAGAATGACTCATGCTTCTTGGACGTCATCAGCTCTGGGTCCGGGGTTCCAGGATTCTCGAGACTCACGTTGTCTGCATGGTATCCATCAGAGATGACCAGTGCCACTTGCATTCTTACAGCGTTTCCACTATGGCATAATTTCATTATGATTTCATCGGGTTGATCCCACCCATCATAGGGCCTGAAACTGTCGACTATAATGTGGTACAAAAAATATTGACTGCTCAGCAGAACAAAATATGTTTAAGAGTCTGATACTGGGAAACGGGAAATATATGAAAATCTAATGTCCTAGGAGTGCTCAAATAAAAAGGGGACTTTTACTCTCCTATCTAAGGCTTTCTTGGTCTACCCCTAGGCTATGAGTTACAGCCATTGTCCCATTTTCATTTGAACACCCCTAGTACGTATGTAGACAATCGTAACTGAGTGAGTGAATGAGTGACGGATGCGGATTCTAAATATGTTTCAGCTAAGAAGGAAAGTTTATACTAAGGACGCAAGTAGTTATTGGGATCCTGAGCTCAGAAAAATTATGTTTTTGAAGTACATCCCTTCAGGGCACTCTTTTTGGGTGGGGGGGGGGGGGAGTGGTAGAGGTGGGCCGTATTTCCAGAAAAATATTCTCTCTAAATAAATGGGCAAACAGAAGCCTAAAATGGGAAGGGAAGTTGGTTTTAGGGTACTGATTTCAAGAGCACCTTTATGCATTGCTGGAAACATTTTTTTTTTTTCAAGGGGACGTTTCTCAGACATATTTGTGCTCCACGAAAACGGGGAGATATATAAGAGAGATAGCTGAAAATTGGTAATAAAAAAGTGGTTATGGGAACTTTGATTTAATGGAAAATCCAATATTTTTTGTACATCCTCTTTCAGCAAAATGTTTGAGGACATTGTCCAATAATATCATTTTGTTCCAGCAAATTAAGTAGATATAGACAGCTGAAACCTGGCACATATGTTGTTGTTAAGGTCCTTAAATCAATAAAAAAAAAAGTGTTACCCACTATTTATCGCCTGGTGGTAAAATTTTGAGAAGTGACTTCTTCAAGTAATTGTTAAGCCCCAGCGAATTACCCAAAGAAAGCCGACATTTAGAATACAAGAAAAACATACAGATATCGTATGTGGAATTTGGCAAAGAGAAAATTTCTGGAGTGTGCATATTAGCCCCTTTCCCAGTCATTTGGAGCATTGCTTCTCTACCTGTATGCCGCGGTATTTTCGGAAATATAGGAAAGGAACTAAAATCGATGTTTAATTATTCTCAAGTCTATTCACCGGTAAAAGACACACTTGTGGTTTCGATGCGACAGGTCAAAGGGAAGCTTTGGTCATTAAGTGTCACTTAATCTCATCACCTGAGACACGGGGGATGGAGGGAATTTCCTTGAAAATCAGGGTTGCCGACTTTTATCAATTAAATCAGGGCACGAACTCATGACTATCCCGAAGGATCTCTCTCAGCTGACAGTAAAGTGCTGCCTTTCACCTGACAACACTTGTCATGAACTCTTTACACCCCAAAGACACGCCGGAGGCTAGACATACATATCTCTCTTTGACATCCTGCCTTTCGCCTCATTCATCAAATATGTTGTCCTCGACCAAGTGTGTCTTTTGCCGGTGAACAGACTATACCACCGACGGATGTTCGTGCCGTTCAGTAGCTTTTCAATTCACGTGGTCGAGCTTGAGTAATTAGACATGCAGCGGCCACAAGCGGCGAGTGTAGTGAGCAAACGTTTATTATTCTGTGGATGCACGTGCGGTGTGTTACAAGTACTTAGCGCCCTGTGCCAAGGTTTAAGAGTTGGGATATTTGTTTTGAAGTTTTTGATTCTGGAAGGGTTACGTGCGACATGGGCAAATTCTTGATTGGAGAAGGCTCATCAGCAGCTATGTCTGCGCCTCAGTTTACTGAAACAGATGAGGATGCAAGTAAAAAGGCAGACACTGAATAGGCAGTACAACGAAGGATACTTGGCTTACGGCTTTCGTGGTTTGGAGATGCAACATCACCAATACCTGAGTGCTTCATCTGTAGGGAGAAACTGTCAAACGAAGTGATGGTACCGAACAAATTAAAACGTCACCTTTCTACTAAACACCCTTCTTACCTCGACAAGGACATCGGTGTCTTCAAGCTGTTGCAGGGGCAGAACTCGAAGCAAAGTTCATTCATGAAAGCCTGCGTGAAAGTTTCCGACGGCGCGCAAGAGGCCAGCTACAATGTCGCTAGGTTAACTGCCTAAACGAAAAAACCCCACACACCATCGGTGAAATACTTATTCTATTGATACCAGCCCAAGTAACACAGCATGTTGATGAAACGTTTCCGAAATGTTGCCTATGTTGCAAGTTGTTGTACAACATTGAGAAAACATATTGCAACGTAAATGCAATGTTCCTTCGCAACATTTGAACAACGTTGACGTTTTGGACATTTACACATAGATGCAACATTGCTCATCAGCATTTCCTGAACGTTGCTGGAATATCTTGTGTTACTTGGGAGTGTGGCAAGAAATTGCACGTGCTATGATAGGGCCCGAGACAGTGAAGGAGGTGGCCAGAGTGCCGCTTTCAAACGATACCATCAGAAGACGCATTGAAGACATGTCGGGTGACATAGAAGCAACATTGGTGGAGAAACTGCGAGTAGTTGGAAAATATTCACTTCAGGTCGATGAGTCAACAGACATCGGCAGGCGTGCATAACTCATCGCCGTTGTGCGCCTTGTTAATGAGGACTGCATTAAAGATCATTATCCTTTCATCAAAGAACTTCTTCAGCATGCAACGGGCAATGAAATATTCCACTTTACAGATGAGTACCTGAAAGGCAACGGGATTCAGTGAGAAAACTGCGCAAGTATTTGCACCGATGGAGCAGCAGCTGTAATGACAGGAAATGGCAAAGGGTTCGTGTCGAATGTGCAAAATCAAAACGCAATTGTTGGAACCATACGCTGTTTCCTCCATCGTGAAACTCTCGTGGCAAACAGCTTGCCAGCTGAACTGAAGTCAGTTTTGGCTGAAGTTGTGAATATCGTAAACTTAATCAAATCAAGACCTCTTAAGTCTCGCCTTTTTTCCGTACTTTGTGAGGAGATGGGAGCAGATCACCAATCCCTACTTCTTCACACAGAGGTTCGCTGACTTTCGCGTGGCAAGGTCCTGTCAATAATTTTTGAGCTGAGGGACGAGGTTCAGCAGTTTCTAACGTTGCACCACGAATCGCAGTAAGCTAGTTTTGAGCTTCTTAACGAATTGAATCGAAGAATGCAAGGACGCGGTGAGAACGTGCTTACATGAACGGACAAGCTAAATGCGTTCAAAGCAAAACATCAGCTGTGGAGAGATGAAATAGGACGTGATTCACTGGACATGTTCAAACGGACCAGTAACACCCATCCTAAAAAAAACTGCTGAATGTGGTGGCTGTACATTTGCGCATGCTTCACCACAACTTTAAGCACCACTTCAAGTTGACTAGCACGGAGCAGTATGACATGGTTCGCAATCCATTCGCTTCATCCGCAGAGGAATCAGTCAAGGAGCTTTCCCTGAGAGGAAATTCTAGACCTCTGGAGCGACCGCACTCCCAGAATTCAAGTTCAGCGAGGTGCCTCTGGACGCATTTGGCTGAAAGTGAAAAATGAGTACCTAACCATCTCTGGTCGCGCCATTCATGTGTTGCTACCATTTTCAACAACATATCTTTGCGATGTGAGCTTACCAACATTGACACTTATCAAGAACGAAGAGGTCATGCCTACAGAGCCTGGATGAGGAACTTCGTTTGGCTCTTTCCAGCATAGACCCGAACATTAAACGCCTCTGTTCCTCAAGTCAAGCGCAAGTGTCTCACTAGTGTGAAATAAAAGTTCGGGCCTTCAGTTTCTCACTTGATTGCTTCTGGGAACTGTTTTAAATGAATCATTTGATTGCCCTTTAATCCTTAATGACATATTCAAGAGAAATGTTTTGGAAAATAATACTTTCATAATATAATTTATAGGCTGCATGTAATTCATAATGAAGCTTCAATTTAATTTGTTTGAAATATTTCGTATATTAATGTAAATATTTAAATGATTTTAAATGCACTACGTTAGGCATAATTTCTTTTATCCATATGGAAAAAGGATATATTTTTTCTTCATTTCACTGACTAGTGGATTTTAAAATATTCTAAGCAATGACGTTGCGATATTTGGCTCGGTGTACCGCGAGGATGGAGCAAACTTGAAAGTGTGCCGTGGAATGAAAAAGGTTGTGAAGCACTTATCTGGAGGATTAGAATTCTACATAGGCCGGGTGAGGCCATTAAAACCTTAATTGTGAATAACGCATGTCTTTACATTTTATTTTATTGTGCCCAAACCAATAAAGTTAGAGGGCTGAAATGTCTTGCTTTCATCATTGGAAGTTTGCACTTTCTAATGAAATTATGTACTTAGGTACAGATTCTGCTAGTAATTTCTTTTGCATGGTAAACGATGAAGCACGGGATTTTGCGGAGAGCTCCACACTGCTTGCCCATGACGCTAGTTTTCTTTTTTTCCGTTTTTGCAGCAAACTCTAAATTTCCTCATAGCTGCTTTCTTCTTCTTACTTAGAGGAACATGAACCATGTTGTGGGCTTTGCGACCACTCACTAAACGAATCTGTATCATTCACAGGTAGCTTCCATAGTTTGGCACCTGCTGTTGATGGCTGTGTATTTTGTGGATCATCTGTGTTGCTGTCATCTTCATCTTATCCTCGTTAAGCTGCCATGCTCTTAATGAAGTGGAGTAGGAAACTTTAGAAAGCGTAACGTTTGCGTTTTAGTCTAGGGTCTGCTGTGTGGTTCATTTGGAGTATGAAACAATTGCATGCTGCCATTTGCAGAAGATAAATAAAAAGTCATCAAAAGGATTCCAAGAAAAATCCACATTTCATCCACGGCAACGAAATTCCTGTTCCTGGAACATGGCGACAGTTCTGTTCTGCTAGGTACTGCCCTTGGTACCTGTTCGTTTCTGCGTGATCTGCTGCACCAGGTCATCAAAATGGATTGTTACCTGGTGGAGGAATTTCAATTCCAATATTTGAAGCGAATGCACTTATAACAGATACAATATCCGTCGTAGTCTGGTCTTGGTGTTTGATGTATATCGCCATCATTTTCACTTTCATTCAGAACTATAGTGCTAGGAACAAGTATTTCACGTAGAACTTCAAGAAGCATAACTCCATCATCACTGTCGACCGCTACTTCGGCGGAAATTTCATATTCGGCACGCATTCCATGCAAGAGTGAATGAGAAGACAATTCATTCCTTGCAAGGAACTCCATCTGGCAAGCATCGATTAACCCTTTGACGTCGGGGGAAGTGGCGCTTAACCACCCCCACAGGCGGCTAAATCGACCCCCCTGTATTTGCAAAATAGTTATTGGAATTAATAGCATATAAATTGAAATTGACGTATGGAAAATGTTAGGGCTTTATTCACCATAGTTTGGCCGCAGTGGAATATCAAAGGTCGATGTCCATGACAGTCTCCTGGTGTAAGTTGTTGCAATGTAAGGTTTCCTGGGTTCGAATCCGGTTAATTTTAAGTGGTTGTTTGGATATTTATCACTAAAGAGGATTGTCACTTATCACCTTATCTTATCACCAAAATCGCCTCTGAGAAAGGTACCCTTTCGGCGGGGGAATGCAAGAGGTGCCAGAAACCACCAGATAAAATTTCGGGAAAATCCCTTATACGCGACGGATTTAATCAAATTCGTGTAAATATACGTCAACCGCGCCAACATAGGCTGACGTGTATATGCGGCAACCGACGCTTAAGGATTAAGCAAAAGTGTGGATTATGTAATTGATGTCTGATTTCATAAAGATACCCTAATATTTCTTGTTTTTTGTTCTGAGTTTTTCAAGAGTAATTCGATGCCAATGTGTCACTTTTTCTAGGGGTTATTACATTTCAGTGCCATTGGTCAAATGATACACTTACTTTCCAGAAGTATAATACTGCTGTGCTGGTTTCATTTCAGTACCATGGAGATAATAGTTTTAGTGAAATGCAATATAATTATCTATTATTGGCCATTGGTCAGTGGTTTCTCCACGAATATGAAAAGCATGCAATTTTCTTCTCTTGCGACAGAACCTCCTATGAGACAGCGCCTCTCGTTTAAATTCAAGGAACCTTATGTTGTGAGACGGGGAGAAGACTTCGATGTGACATGCGTGCCCGTGGGATCTCTGAACATGACTGTGGAATGGATCCAGGCCACGAGGGGATCTCTGGAAGGCATCGTTTCTCCCAGAGAGATGAACATTCTTCAACTTAGGAACATTCAACAGTCAGAAAATTACACCTGTGTGGTAGAAAGCAAGGAGCATGGTCGAATCGAACGGACGATTATCATTACGGTCCAGGACTTACCCTTTGCACCGGTGGATGTGGTAGTGGATGAGGAGACAGAATCCTCGGTGAGACTAAGTTGGTCCTACCCATCAGCATTCTCGAACGTTACGCCAAATGAAGTCAAGCATTACGTGATCCAATACAAACCGGTATATCCAATACAAACCGGTGTATTTCAGCTTGATACAAATCAAGCTGAAATCTACGGCATCACGGAGCGCCATTACACTATCCAACAACTGAACCACAGCACGGAATACGAGATCTACGTTCTGGCTGCAAATCTTCTTGGCAAGGGTCCAGTGTCTCCAAAGACCTTGGCCTGCACCACAGGACCTGGTACGTTCGCCTTTTCTTGTGTCTCCTCGACTGCACTAATTTGTTTGCTTTTTAATCATTTTTGCGTGAGTTTACGTACTGCAGTTTACCTGCTAATGGACTATTAGATCCCTTCATTGAGGGTCCCTTTTAACAGCTAATAGGGAATGGAAGAACCTGAGGTCAGGAACCTAAACGCTTTACGCGGGTCTATTACCTGAAAGTTAAAAGAACCTGGATAAGTTTTATATTTGGTTTTCCTTTTTTTTATTCGAACATCTCTTCAATCTTCAATTCCACGAAAATACCCCAAAAAGGAGGGAAAATACATTAATAAGTTAAACGTTTTTCTTCCTAATTCTCTAAGCGAAAGTGTTGTTAGCATCTGGGAGCAAGTAGCCTTATTTTACCAACAAGGCCAAAATGTATACCCCCATATCTCTGCAGTCGCTTGACATGGAATCCTCCGACTAGGCCTAAATGCTAGTCGCATTATCATCCGCATGTACGCCAAATTTAATAGTAGAGTGAAAAGAGTCTTTTTTGGCAGGTGTGGGTGGTTCCATTTCAAATCAGGCAGGGTCACGGTTTTTGCGTCAGGTCATAGTCTTGGATTTTTTTTTAAATATATGTGATCCCCCCTTTCAAATGATGGAAAATGGTATCTTATTTTTCTCTATATCTGCAATAGTTTCGGAGACAAAAATT